GAAAAAAAGAAAATTTTTATGCATTTTTTCCACAAAATATAATTGCCTTTTTAAAAACATCGAAAGTAAATACGTAAAATGTATGCTGCGTAAGTAGTCATTTCTTTACAGAGTGTAGTTCTTGCATGCAGCCAAGAAGAGTTTGCTTGAACGTCGGCATCCTGAGATAGCTGAATTGTGATAAAATTATGCTGCACTATTATTGGTTTTGCAACCCTACTATATTAGTCTTTTCGAAAAGGAAACGAATTTCGGAATATCGGTTGACATTTCATGAGTTAGCCCACCTACTGCAGATCTCATAAAATTTGGTATTAGATTTGGATCACGCTGTCCCCTTAATAAACGACAATAATAAATTCGCTGATGCGATGTACGACTGGACATCTCATTGTCCTGAGTAATCTCATAATTTGAAAGTTGTTTAAAATCGAAAGTTAGCCTTTATTCAAGCGCAGAAATTTGAAAAAACGTAATTCACTACCAAATGAGTAAAAGAAAATATGTATGTGCGTGCTTTCTATAAAATAATTTGAATTTATAATGGCATCGAAAATCAATGAGAATAATTCACACCAATTAAATAACCGTTTTTTGGAATTTAATTTATGCAGGCGGTCGATAAAAAGCTCTTTCGAAGGCTGGCCTCCTGACGTGACCGGAATATCATGGGATTTTGCGACAGTGTAATTTACACCACAACTCTACTTAAGTACTCTTTCCGAATTGAAAACGGATTTCAAAATTTCGGTTGACATTTCATGAGATAGCACAACTCCTGTATATCACGTACGTGACCTGGGTCTAAACCTAGTGGCTTCTTCAAAGGGCAAGGAGAGACTGACTGCTTTGCATCTGCAGATTTTCCTGTTTCTGTAGAGTAAGTTGCACAGGTCGAACTGTGAGGTGTTCCTTCGGCGCGGCTCAACCCGGATGCGACCACTTTCACCCCCAGCGCTTTCATGATCCATCTTTTGGACACCTGCCACCATGCGAACTTCAAATAAATTTTCCAGCTGGTCCCCGGCTTTCAGACAAACCGATTAAAGTTACCAGCGTCAAAACATGCTTGTTAGACTCGGCTGTCAAAATAAGCTAGTAATTTGCACAGAAAGGGGTTTTCTTCTAAGGTTCCCTCTCCTCTGGCAAAATTACATCCCAGAGACTCGTCAGGTTTGATGACAGACATCGTGCCGCGGCAGTGCACGACTCCCTCCCTCGGCCCCGAGGCTAACCGCATCGGACAGCCCGGTGTTTGGGGAACGTTTAAAACTCCGCTCCTCCCCTCTCTGCCCGATCAGCCCGTCGTCTGAATGAACACACAACAAACCTTCCACGGACAAAAATTACACCATTGGTTTTCCCGCCTCCCCCAATGCGATCCGCTTGACGATGGTTATTCGAAAGCACAAGTTCGCCAAAACTGAGGTCTGAAACACAGATGACGGAAGACAGGAAGTTAGTCCGAATACTGTTGAGTCGGGCGATGAAGAAACTAAGTAAAAATTAATTTGCTGAACTGATTGTGCAGCGAGAAGGCGTCCACAAAGAAGGACAGTGGCACTAGAGGAGGAGAAGAAGTAGATACCACCGTCTGACGTTGATGAAGTTGCGCGGTGGAATGCGATGCATTCGGGAGGATACAAGGAAGAATTTCGGATGTCTGCAGACGTCTACGCATCTAAGTAACGAGGCAAATGCCTACTGACAGACAAAATCGGTGGTGGTTTTTGACAACCGATCGGCCTCGGATGCGGTCGACTTGACAAACGGGGTGAGACAAGTTACCCTACCATCCCCCGTCCTCTTTAGCTTCATGCTCTCGGTAATACATGTGAAGAAGCGAGTTTCAGCAAGTATTGGAGTAGAGGAAGGCTTGATCTACAGGCCGGGGACCTTATTACTCTGATATTTTGGATTTATACTCGAGTCTGTCATCAGAGGTATAGACAAAAACAGTGAATGCACAGGGGTCACTGTTTATAGGATGCAGCTGTTACATAGGCCCATAGATGCTAAAAGTAGTAGCTCGCACATACGTCATCATTCCTCGTAACTGCAGCGATAATGCCCGCATTCACGTCGCTACTGCTCGAGAATTAATCACCCGTGCTTGTTGTGGGCGTGATAACTACTCAGTCATCTGGGCAGTGGTTACCGGCGCTCCCACCACATGAGTAGGTGCTATGTCTAGACGGAGTCCGGAGTTGGATGCAGAGGGAAAACTCTTTGTGTTTGTTTGTGGCGGGTCACAGACTCCTGACTCAAGTAGTTCACGATTCACTCTGTTTTCAACTCTCCTGAGGAGTACCGTCTAGTGGAACTTGAATACGGGTTGAATTCTAATTGGCCATACGACTGGCCTTCGGAAGGTTGAACGTCCTGTATGAACTGTCATTGACATGCCCCTTGTCTGCCGTCAGACTAACCAGATCCTTGCCAGTTTTCATCTGCCTCAGAGCATTGCGTTCTAACGCCGTAAGTATTTTGAAAAGTCTGAGGAGTGCTGGCACTTGGGAGCAAGCGAAGCACACCCTCTCGTCTATGACATTCGCCTGATCGAAGATTGACTGTGCTGTCGCAATCATGTTTTTAATCTGGCGTCAGATGTTTTGATAAAGCTTCACGCCGTAGCACCCACATTTTTTCTTCATCACCCCTTTAGACGAAGCGTAACACACCAGTTTGTCGTTTTCGGAAGATTTCTAACTCGAAAAATCAGTGCATGTTTCTTGGCAATGAAGTGCTTTGGCGAAATCCCGCCTGGCTGACCGTCGTATAGCGAAAGTTAGAGAGAACTTCCTCGTCACATTCGATAATCTACCGAGAGTGCAAAAAGAAAGCGATCCTCCCTTGCCTCAGTGTCAGTCATTGACGGTCCGATTTTCAGACCGGCAAAGTGTGCGTTTCGGCGCGATAAATTTCTGCTTGCAGATTCAGACACGACCGTCGGTCTTGAGCGGCAAGTTTCTGGCCAACAAGGCCATGATAGTATTTGATGTTACGTTTCACAGGATGCGGTAGTCGGAGTGATCGAATTACGCCTGCAAACCAAACGCATTAAACGGAAAACCAGCTAGCACACATCGAAGTCATGCAACCCCTGAAGTTCTGTTTCAAAGCATAGTCCACGTCCTACGGTACATTCTAGGGGCAATCAAAAGACACTTCAGTAGGTTCACCGATTTCCAGACTCGCAGTCAGCGCGACCTCGTAAAGACGGAACTAGTTGATGTTCCAGCCTCATGGACTGACATTTTTTGCTCGGTACGTCCCTTGTCCTCAAACGGGATTAGGTGTTAGTTTGCGAAGGACCTATCAAATCCGTCTTCCCGGACATACAGTTCACGACAAAAGATGTCCTAATTCGTTGTGGTTATTAAATGGCAAAAACACCCAAGAGTTTCAAGAGAAGGGCAAGCAGCAAGCAATCACCAAATCAGCCCCAAACACAACGTCAGAAGAGCGTTCTACCAATTCAGAAAGCAAGGCTACCAACACGATTTTGTCAGTCCTTATACGCAAAAAGGTGACGGGACACCATGACACATGTGGCCCAGCTTTTGACAATGCTCCCATGAGTCAAGAACGAGGCGGAAACTATCGGCCACCTCCCTGCTCCACTGTGAGCACTAGGCAACCATTTGGAGTCAAACGATGGGACAGAGAGAGACCCACTGCCACTTAAAAGATCCAAAGTCGTTTACCGGACTTGGTAAAGTTGCGAGAAAAGTAACTCCGCCGGAGAAACGGGGACGGTCAAACACATATCAGCAGTGAGGAAAAATGTCGCAGAGTCTTAGGTCGCGACTCAGTGGACTTCATCCTGTAAGCATTATGTCACTTGTGCATCAATCATTTCTGGCGGCGGGTTTTAGCATACAGTCAAAACATCAGCTAATATATTTCTTCTTATCCATAACCTTAACTGGTCGAATTTGGAGGTTACTGTCATGTAGTCGATTTCAAGTATCGAGACGACGCGAAACTTAGTAGCATCCACATGCGCATAGTTTGGACTGACCATCAGCTAGAGTAAAACAGCAGCCATGCGTCATTCGAGGCCATCCGATAAAAATACCGAACATAAAGACACTATGGGAAAATTCCCCTGTTAATTCAAAAGGCGTCCAAGGAACGTCAGAATTGGTGACAAATTCACAGATGCAATCTCTGTAACTGACAGGCCTTTGCTAGGTTGCAGACTCTAGTATGAAACCGAGGAGTTATCTCACTCAAAATTAAGCTAAAGATATATTAAACCATAGTGTTTGGTAGGTCTTTATACTATGCAGAAGCCCTAACTCTCTGGCAGTTGTAAGCGAGAAAACTCAGCCACTAACACAACTATTTTCTGAGCATCCCGATAGTGAAGGATGTAGGACGGCTTCCAGACAGATGAAATCTCAAAGCAGTTTCATTTTCACTTGGGTAACCATGTTGCGACAATGTCGGATAAAGACTTTCCAAAACGACAGTTCCCCTAGTGAACAAAGAGAACAGAAGAACAGAAGAAATTATACAAGTCGCATCTAAAAGTTTTCATCGGGATGGTTTAGATCTCCCGTGCAATTCTCGCATACTCAAAAACTGCTGTGACAAATAAATGTAGCCTTTTAAATTAACTGCATACAATAGGTCTGTGAGACGAGATAGGAAAATGAGGCCAGAACACGAAGGGATAGCGCTGCTAACGTCCGGTTCATCCTAAAATTTCCATAGCGCCAACGCCCTTTCTGGGTCAATATGGGCTTTGTAGGACTCTTTTAAATCGATAAGAGCAGCAATAAACACAGCACAAAGAAACAATTTATCAAAGAGCTCTGTTGGTGTTAGCTAACTCTTCTCACCTGTTTGCATTATGGACAAATATTCTGAGTCCGGAATGCTAAAATCTCGGGAGCTAAGTGACCCTTTTTTACAGAAAAAGCCACGACAAACAGCTTGTGGAATCGCGTCAACACTTGTAGTCTTTGTAGCTACATCAAGGGGAATCACCACTACCATTCATCATCATCATCATCATCATCATCATCATCATCATCATCATCATCATCATCATCATCATCATCATCATCATCATCATCATCATCATCATCATCATCATCATCATCATCATCATCATCATCATCATCATCATCATCATCATCATCATCATCATCATCATCACCATCATCATCGCCATCATCTACGCCTACGCAAGATACTAGGACCTTACACTTTCACATGTTACCCGAATAAAATTCACGGAATGGAAAAGAAAACTGACGCTCACTGCATCAGCATGTACAGCATTCGCAAAACGATTAGGTCATAAGTGTAAGTCAAGGTATGCAGAAGAACAGAGAATCTACCGATTGGTGCCACTTTTCTAGATGCGCCTCCAGCCATTTAGAGGCAGTAATCTTGTACAGGGCTCCGCTCATGCGTGTGTTCCTACGCTTTTCGATACTTATAGTAAAAATTAATTTTTGATCTTTCGGTTTGAATTTAAAGAAAGACGCGCCAGCTGGTATTCGGGCTGGAAACTTAGAAATATTTTCCATTAATTTGTTTTTCACTCAATTCAAATAGTAACTTCTTGTAATCTTTAACATCTCTCAATTTGTTTGTCAACGTATTTGGGTCAAATTTAAAAGTCATTTATTCAGGAGAATAAAATTCCACGGTCTTCTATCACAGAGCACCTCCTAGATGGCGGTCATTTGGCTGACCCCAAAACATCTTTTTGAGTATTAGTTCGAGCACGAACAACTCGGTTACTGCGCTATTTGGAGGCAGACTACATATGGCGGGAGAAACCCGACCTATGCAAACAGTGGTCAACCTCAGCTTTCCCTGGTAAATCTGCGCCCTTTCAATTTTCGAAATCCCTCGGCATGTTTACTTCCCCATTTTCTTTCCTATGCTGCTTTTTCCAAGTTACCATTCTATTGATTAGTCTGCGTGCAGTATACGATGACGTTGTTGTTTTATATTGATTTTCTCTGTGGAAGTTCAAACCTCTGTACCTTTCTCCCTTGTTATCCGTGTTATGCAACGACAGGCTGCAGTTGATAAGCCGTCGCGAAATTCACTGGTTCCAATAAATTCTGCTGTCTATGCCTGCTTTAACTGCATTCCGGGGAAATACTGTTTCAGGCATTTGGGCTACTTAAGCCGTCCTAGTGCCCTTTGTAAATTTTTCATGCTTTTGTTGGACCTTTTGATTGAAGCCTACGTTTTTTGCATTTTACGCGATATTTTACCTTCAGTGGCCTTGTGCTTTGCGCCTGTGCCGCTTTTTTCAACTTTTTTACGGCTGTGCAGGCAGTCTGACCACATCGTAGTCTTCCGCTCTCGCGCTTCTGTTATGCG